AAATATTACTTCCTTTGAAGGGGCAAAACAGCGTTTCGATACGAGTTGAAACAATTGTGTAGCGAATTTAGTCTAAGGGAGATAACTTGCAGAAAAAGTATTTGGAGTCATGTTCCATTAGAACGACGACGGCGACGGCGACTAAGAAGAAGAAGGCAAACCTTTTGTTGGACAATGGAGTAATCAGTCTCAAGATTTTGTGTCATTACCTTATTTATATCGTACTATTTGTTTTTATCATAAAGAATGAATGGAACAGCATATCCCGAAAAAAAGTTTAACTGCAATGTGTAGCTGTTCAGTATATTTACTAGGGCTAATCAAGTGATTCTACAGAGCAAAACAATCGATGGAAATATGAAATAGTTCAAACACATTTGTAATTCTTAAATCAGGATAGTGTAGGTTTCAAAAGAACATAAAATTAACCATTTAAACATTTATCAATATTTTATTGAATCGCATACAATTTAGGTATACGCATACGATAACAAATAATTCTTGTTGACCAATTGTGATGTGTTTAGTTTAGCAGACGACACATTGTTTGGAATTGTCATAAATTCATTAAGCAAACCACAAAAGATTTTCATTGTGGATAAAACCACTTTTTCCTACATTCCGGGTACCGGAAAACGATCAGGCATTCAGAATTTGAATTGCAAATCCAATTGGTGTAATTATGCAGTGGTCCATCCGAGAGTTAATCTAAACCATTCATATCGATGCACAGACAAATCCTGAGTCTTTCTCGCTGTTTCTGCCTCGTTCTTGTCTCTAGCTTCCAATATGTCGGGTTTCGCTGTTCGTTGGAAACTATTCTCGGAACTTGTTTGAACAGAGTGCTCGTAAATCGGTCCACGTGATCTCTCCATCTGCCTCTCTGCTTTTTGCACATCTTGTCCAGATTTATTTTTGGAGAACCAATTAATATCGTCCAGTCCGACAGCTCTTTCTTGACTGCTAGATGGCGCTAGAGTGCTGGAGAATACCGTAGACATGAGTCGCAGTGGCCTAGATTCAACTAATGTGTCAATTACCACTTCGTCGTCTGATTGAACGTCAGTCGAATGGGTACCAGTCCAAACGGGTTCCACAAATAATGTTGGGTCTATCTCGTAGACAACTGGTCTTTTACTCGGGCGAAAAAGGTAGTAACATCCCAACAGACACCTTCCCAACAGTGGGGCTGGACACCCTTCTGTACCATCCAGACTGGCCACATCTGCATGGTCCTACAAGCAAGCACGAGACTCATCATTTATCAAAGATCGGATTAAATTATCTCAACGTCATTTAGCCTCACCACAAGGCTCGCATTTGAACTCCATAGCTGAAATACCAAACATTCAACTGAAAATGTTTATGAATAAATTCAATTTCCGTTGAGTCGACAGTTTTTTTTTTCCAATTTATTCAATTACCACGAATTCATTAATGAAAAAAATATCAACAGGAAAGAATGTCGTGTTCGTTGAAATGCATGTCCGCACTTCCTGCTTAGAATGTTCATAGTTCTCGCTTTATATTAGACGCTATCAAGGCTAAACTGATATGAAATATGTCTATTTTTCAGACAATTTATAATGAACCTATAATTTATTATGTATATAATTATATATTATAGTTCTGTCTAGATGTGTCGTTTGTGACGTACCAACTTAAAATGCGAGGAAATGATTTAGTTGGGACACATGCCAAGTTAAATGTAGTATTTTGGTAGAAAGTGTATTTGTCTCACTTTTCATGTCAAGAACCATCAACAAGCTTCGGAGAAAACTAAACCATAATTTCTGATATACAGAACAATTGTGATATTTGTGTTTACATGATAGAGTGTTAATCAGTCTTTCCAAAACAAGCGAATAAATATATCGATATTTTTGGCGATAATGTAACTAGTACGTAGTAGTCAAGCACCGAACTCCTCCTTAAAATGTACGCGCATTCTTATTTAGGTCAATTAGTATTTTACGTAATCATTCCGTAATGACTGTGAAAACAACATACCTGTGGATCTACTACAATGTGGCGTCGTTGAGTCATGTTGTGAGTGCAATATATCCAGATCGTACAACCAAAAAGATATCTGAAATAACGAGAGAGTTTAGAGTTCCAATTTTAATTAAATAATAATAATAACGCCATGTACTGCAAAATTTAAAATTTTTGCGGAGCTCAAATTTCGTGGTTTTGAAAAGATTAATGTAATTTCTGTAACAATTCATTTCATGACGGATAGTACACACTATTCGATAATATTTAAAAGTGATGTAATTTTTTTTACCATTTTAATTCCATGGACATTTTAATTAGTCTTTAATGAGCACCAAGTAATCAATAACAACCGCGAAAATATTTGCTTTAACGGTACATGTAATATAGTACGGAGGGATTTTCGACGCAATTATATATTTGTGTCCGTTTAGCGCGTTCAGAAACAGAGCGCAAGGAAAATGTGGACTGGTGTTTGATGTCACAATTGAAATTCATATACATTTAGGTAGTCTGGGCGAATTTCACACAGGGCGAAAACGATAAGGTATATGCAGGGGCGAAAAACACCTAGATCGAATGTTTCCCCGAATAGATAAATACATAACTGTTGAATGTCATTAAACATTTTCCTATAAAAATGTATACGTTCTATATACAATTTTTTGTTTGTTTTGTAAACACGTTACATATGTATGGACTTTCCTTCCAGGAATTAAGCTTCTGCGTGCCATCAACAACAAGTTTTCCTTGATGTCATAATTAGAGAAATTTTTCCCGGCTAACATTCCCACGATCCTCCATCTCACATTTTCTCATACTTCGCCAGCTATTTCTGGTATACCATAAAATCATTCTTAAATACAACTCACCAGGCTTTCAACCGCGTCGAGTGGGAAAGTCGCAGTGATACTATGGAAATGACGTCAGCTAATTATGACGTATCAGATTGACAACAAATGGGATTATGGGTATTTGATTGTGGTGCCATGTGTACTGCACGAACTACGTGCTGAATCAAAACATTAGGTACCATTTGATTAAGCTTAATTTGTCAATTTAAATTTTTTTATCCGGGAGAAATCCATAATTTTTACATTGCCCTCAAACATAGTATTTATGATATCAAAATGGAACAAAATAATAAGATAATACGATTGATCGTTCACTGGTTTTCTCGACCAAGCAAAACACAGGACAATAGAAAGATACAATAACTGCTTTAAATGTTTTTGTTTTGTTTTTTTGTTTTTTTGGGTTTTTTTTTTTTTTTTTATAAATCGATAGGATCTTATACATATATACTGTAAACATTTTCAATCGGATGATCACTCGTGCCATTTCGTTATTCTTCGGAAAAATTCGTCTAACCGATGACGGAAAATCCCGAGTAGTTTTCAGATATATCTTCAATAGGTAATGGAAGTCGAGTATATCATGGACACTTCCAACGGGAAACGGCACTTTATCCAAAACGCGAAAAAGTATTCCCGGCTCCTCAATCCCTTATCCATGCCATTCCACAACCTAGATCTGGTATACTGTTAAGTTATATACATAAAACATACTGAACTAGAAAATGAAAAACAACTCACCAAGATGTCTACCGCGATGTGTGGGGAAATCACCGTGATACTATGGTAATGACGCCGGCAAATTGTGACGTATAAAATTGACATCGATTGAATTATGGGTATTTGATTGTAGCGTGCACGGCATGGTTCGAGCAGTGTAGGGATCGGAACAGGTCATTCTCAATCACACATCAAAAAAGAAGAAAAATAACGAAATCGTTGAACGTATGCAATTATGTTGTTTGAGTTGGACTTGGAATATCCGGCAATTTTTTTTTCAACGAAATATGAAAAGGAAAAAAAGTATGTTTCATCCCCGATAAAACATAGTTAAAAGTATAACTCGAGTATTCAAGATGTGAAGGAAATTAGACGTCATTAAGTTCCAAATCCAAGTATTTCATGCAAATTATGTAAAATCCTACATTTCTAAATATTTTGTTTGGTGTGTCAAATACCAATTTAACATACCTGTTATTATTCATACAGTTTATGATGATGGACATGTTCGACGCTCGTTAGTTTGCCTGATGGTTCCGCTGTTGTTTACCTTGTTCTCACTTGTGAACGTGACATTAATTACTTTGACTGGCCAAGAAACCGAGGACGCCCATTCTTGGGGATATTTCCAACGAAAGTTTTTAAGGAGTTTTCATGTAAATCTTCTGTTCATATTATGCCCTAAGTGTTACAGAATTTGAGTTTGATTTAATGCTCTGTTAACATGCTAGTATTTTTTTAACTCTTTTTCGTAAATCGTATCACAAGGCGAACTCCTAAAATAAATTACCACGAGTCTTATTCTCATATCTAAGCTTTCATAAAAAAGCATTTTCTCTATGTAAAAAATCTGAATCCTCTATCTATGCTATCAATATATCTATGATGCACTCTCTATTAATTATGTTGGGAGTTAAAGATTATTTGACCCGATGATTTTTTTAAGCTCGCAAATAAATATATTAATTAGATTTTTGTCTTTTTCATCAGTCCCAAAGTTTTACAATCACAACTATGGACAAAGAGGATACTTCCTATAAAATTTGAGAAAGTTCCCTCCAGAACTTCTCTAGAAACAAACCTCAACTTCCAAAATCCAATATGGCCGCCCTCCGCCATTTCATTTTCTTGGATTTACTTTTGCATTATAACCAAATTAAACATGCACAACTAGGGACCAACAGCATACTACATAGCCACTTGTCGGCCTTTTTATATTCAGCATTCATGAAATTGAATTTGCACCACGATCCATCCAGTCTTCCTCAGAAATGTAACAAAAAGTTAGATTTAAAGAGATAAGCTATGTACCACAGCAGTTTGGCAATTTAACAGTGGACAAAGACCATAAAATTATAAGACCTAGCGGAAAAAGTAACTGAACCCATCTCTACGAATATGGATTTTTATTTTATTAAGATCTTTGCATCTTACAGAATTTAAATACAAAAACATCCATGACATAGAAAAAAAAACGGAAAGTTACATCACAGATTAGAAGCACTGGACAAATAAAATGGATGAAAAACTTGTAAACATGTACAAAATTTTGTAACACATCTGACAATAAATAAATTGTATAGGCTTGAACAGAACATTAAAGCACAATGGGATTGAACATGTGAATAGTTCACAGTTACAGTTACAAATTTATAAACACTGAAAAGTTTTCAATTTTTTTTTTCTACAGATTACCTGTACATGTATTTTAAATTCACAAGGAATACCCCAAAATTGACCAAATGATTTTACCTGGAGTTACACGTGAAATCTTGATAATCACATGCATGATGACGAATTTCCAATGGATGCAAGACATTCAACTTTGACAAAAATATTTACAAATATAAAACGCCATGTAGTGTTTGTTCACGACGACTTTAATAACTTTACATTTCAAATGATCTCAAAGGGAGACAATTTAATCCTATTCCGATGAGAAAAAATCCACTTTTACAAGACTTTTCTTGATGAACATTGTAGTCTTACATTTGCATCCAAAATTTCCTCCAAAAGAAAAAGGAAAGCAGTAAAAACTGATCTCTTTCTCAACCAAAGTTGTACATCACCCGGAGACAAGTTCCGATTATTTAACCATAAAGAGCAGTGTCAGAACACTGAAGACTGAAGTGTATGTTGATCCTATGGCTTGAAAAGTTCTTCCACACTTTTAAAAAACGTCAGCGTTGTCATTATCACCACATTTTTAATATCAAATTGAAGATAACATTGTCTTACACATTTCACAGTTCATTTTGATCATGTTTATATTACAAGTCAACTCCCAGTAACTGATGCCTACAAGACTGACTAAAAAGACTTTTAAACCTACATTGAACTTTACATAGATTCTGGCATATCTCTAAAAGTTTATCCCTGAAGTTGTCAACATTTCAGAAATTCCCAGAAAACTATTGCAGTACAAATAAGATGAAGGGCAAATTGTTTTACATTGAAAAAATAAAGATGTGTAACTTCAGGTATCACTTAATTACATATTTTCTAAATTTGAATTGAATTTGATCTTGACTTCAACCTGAATGGTTGTCCCAGTTGTGGAAAAAAAATAGGTTACTTCCTAAAATGCTTCTCAACATACAAAAGCTAGCACATTTCGGCTCATCTCATTCTCATTAAGTTTCTCATTCTCTCACAAGGCTTCTTACACATCAACAAATCACACGCTTGATATAGATAATGCTATGAAATTAGGTTTCAATGACATCTATCATCCCGCTGTCGTGGTCGGGGCGCTGCCTTCACAATATCATCAACACGAAGAATCATTTCAGCTGCCTCGGAAGCACTCATGACAACTTGGCGCTTCACCTGGAACGACTCTGTGATTCCATTTATCTCCATATCACCCACCTCTCCAAGCTCCATATCTGAAATACACAAAATGTCGAAATGTTAATGATTTTGAGTTTTGAATCAGTGCAGCATTCAAAATAAAAAGATGGACGATGCCTGAATAATTATCGAATCATCAGTGTGCATAACAATCAAGTGATTAATGAGGTATTTTTGTATTAAAGGATATGAAATACCTTTTCACTGAGTACTTCTTGTTTCTTTCTTACTTTAACTTCTGAAATCGTTTCTTTACATTCCAAGATGGTTAGTAATTTATTGCAACAGGGTTTTGTTTCCACAGCTTTTAATTTTTCTTATATCTATATCAAATCCTGAAAGAGAACACTGAAAGTGTGCCTATTGGTGGCAAAAACTGCCCTGAACATAACTTAGATAACACTTACTGATGCCCATCGTATTCTTTCCCTCAGAGTGTAGGGCACGGAGCTGTGACACGAGGTGGGCACTGTCAAAACCTCCATTGTCTGCTATTGTAGTTGGTAACTGGAAAAATCAGGGTTTTAACTCTGTGATATTTGGTAAACAAACAAACTATATCTGACATCAACTAAATATTTACTGCTATAAAAACAAACAAGTAAAAGGCCTGAAATTACATATTTACATTTCAAATTTAAGTATCCAATAACAAGCAATATTTAAACAAGTTCACGGAAGACCTGAGTCTTAGAGAGCACATCACACTAAGCTAGTTTTAAGAATTTTTGAGCAGCAAGATCTCAACTACAGCATTTGTGTTTTTACCATTACCTTATCTCTTGATGTAAAACGCAAAATGTTGAGTTTGTAAAAATCTTGTAAAAACCTTTTTTGTAACAATGCATTTGAATACAAATTGATTAAGTTTCTCTCTAATGAATGAAAAATTAAGATCTCATTGATCTGGATTTTTTCCTTGCTCCATTTCATTCACTTTCATAAACTTTGAGTATAAAGGAGAGTTAACAATGGATCATTACTATTATTATCAATTCATGTATATGAGGTTGGGAATATAAACTATTACAAATAGGAGATTGATTTCTGACTTACATTCCTCAATGCTTTGGCATATGCTTCCATAGCTACAGCCTCCTTGCCTGGGGTCTTCATCGCAAGTTTAGATACAGCATCAGCCATCAACATCTCGGAGCTTCCTGTAGTTTTAGAAATACAAAACATATTATCTTTGGTAATACAGCTTATGATAAATATACCAGTTATGATTTCCTTACTATGTTGACAACAGAAGCCAGAGTTTTTTCTCTCTCTGAATTTTACAAAAGCTTACGTCTAGATTAATTGGAAAAATGCACCAAGAGGTCAATATTTAATGGAAATAAAACTTACCTCCACCAAACACTGTCTTTGTTTCTTTGACCGTTTGTGTGAGGACACAAAGAGCATCATGAATTGAACGGTCGGCTTCATCCAAGATCTGCTTCGTCGCTCCTCTCAACACAATGGTACAGGCCTCTCCCATAGCCACACCTGTCACAACAACATCAAGGACTTCATTGGAGAATAGGAGGGGTTTACAGAGGCAATTATGATAATTAAATGACATTATCTGCTTAAATCACAAACAGCCTCAGAACCTGACAATTACAGTCTCCTTTTACAAGATTTATTTGAGAATTAACATGCCACTTTAAGAACCTGTATCAATATACTAGACAAAGCTTACACAGTGATTTGTGAGGCTTAAATCTTTATTTTTTGTATGGGTGTAATTTTGTTGAATTTGTGGTTAGAATTTTCTGTATCCATGAAAACGATAAACAGATAAAAATCAACATGAACTGTAGTACAAGTGGATTTTTGTGATCAAGATTTACGAAATCAAGTTTCAACAAAATACATGATTTGGTAAAAGCACAAATTTTTGAGGCCCACGAAAAACATGTGATTTTAAGTATTCCTTAATCAACAAAGCTTACCTGAGAATTTGATGAGCTTGTCTTCTCCAATCATGACCTCATTCATCAAGTCACACTGACCTAGTTTAACTAATTCAGGACAGTCAAAGGTGGACACGATCTCACCACCTGTCAGGGACACAAAGTTTAGGTTAAAATGCATTAGTGACAAATATGTAGTGTTTTTTGGGGAATTTGATAATGAGTCCTGGACTAATGCTTTTCCTGTAGAACTCCGTAAGAATTTGATGCCCTATTTGTATTGGGACTCCTAAAAAAATTGGAATTGGTGATCTGGACATGTCTTAAAAATATTGTACAAAAATTACTGGTATAACAACTGACATTACAATCATGGAACTGGAAAATACCAAAATGAGTTAAGTTTAAGACAAAACAACACCTCTTAAAATCTTGGCAAACTGCTCTACTATCATCTCAGCAACATCATCATTTATACATACAGCTAAAGATTATGATACTCTCAAAACTTAAACTCATGCTAGCTAGCAGTAAAATTCTTGGTATTAACATCATAAAGAAAGATTTGAGACCTTTCTTAAGCTGAAGATTGTCATAACCTGTATGCCAACTTGGAATTCAACTGAAGAGACATGTAATTTTCTTTTGAAATCATTCAACATTCAATATTATAAAATAAATGAAATTTTTTGAGCAAATGCACCTCCCTATCTGGTTTTATTTATTTTTGCCACTTTTCATTTTTCTCAGTCGATAATTCCACCAATTTAGGCCTTTAGCATCACTGAAAATTCATAGCAGGATGAAATGGCTGTGTGGTGCAGCTGAATAGACTACTTTATCTTATTATTAATTTTTTGTAGCAGGTGGTTATTAACTTGTGCATCTTTGTACATCTTTTGCACTGGGGATGAGGTGAACTGTGTGTCTTGTTGTCAAAGCAACACATTCCTGTGGTTAATTTCCGCTAATTATTCTCAGAAATCACAATATTAGGATATTTTGTCCACATAGCAGTTACCTGTGACAAGAGCCAGTCTTTCAATCCCATCAAAGTCTGCATGCTCAATGGCCATCACACCAGCATCAGCAAACAGTTGCTCAGGGTAATTATAGATGAGTTGTCTGAAGTAAACCAACAATTTATCACAACAAAGGTGTCCTCACACAGTTTTAAATACATCCATCAAGATAGGTGACTTGAAGAAAGAAAGTTGTGAGTTATTTTTAAAATATTATACTAGTTCAAAAGTTCAAAAGTTACCGTGTTGCAGTTAAAAATTTATGAAGAACTGCAGTCACAGTGCAAACTTATCAAGAGCAGCACTTCTAAAGGAACAGTAGAATAAAGACCTGACCTAAGACATGTGATAGAATCCGAGCGTGTAAACATATCACTCCTTGCAGCAGGACTAGTACTGTTTACTGACCTGTTAATGAACACATTACAGCCGTGCTTAAGGATTTTGTTGACCTTGTCCCTCATCTTCTCTTTTTCTGCAACTTCAAGCTCTGCTACTTTCGAAACTGCATCTACCTTTACCTTTGTTCCAAACACCTAATTCAACAAAAATTTGAATAATCATTACATGATATTACAGGACAGGGCTTAATAGTCACTCAATTACAGGAGATATCCCAGGACAGGGCTGAATAGTCACTCAATTACAGGAGATATCCCAGGACAGGGCTTAATAGTCACTCAATTACAGATGATATCCCAGGACAGGGCTGAATAGTCATTCAATTACAGGAGATATCCCAGGACAGGGCTTAATAGTCACTCAATTACAGGAGATATCCCAGGACAGGGCTTAATAGTCACTCAATTACAGGAGATATCCCAGGACAGGGCTGAAAAATCACTCAATCACAGGACAGGGATTATAATTACAGGAAATATCCCAGGACAGGGATCATCATTACAGGAGATATCTGATGATAGGGTTGAACTCTACAAAGATTGTTGACAATAGCAGATATTCAAGGACCTGGTTGAATGTTAACCAACAAATTCAACAAAGATTTCATAAAGTTATAGGTGATATACTTGAAAAGGTTTGAATGTCACATTTCTAACCCTTACAGTTTTGGGTTACTTGTGCAACTCAGGTGAACTATGTAAACATTTTTTTTCAAATTACATAAATACTGCATCTGTTTACTAAATAATTCAAAATAACAAAACAGTTCACTGTTTTTTTTACCTATTTCAACATTTGAAAATTAACATTTTTCTAATTTTGCTATCCATAGATATCCATACAACTTACAGGGAAATATTCACCAAGAGTTACTTTATACCCCTCATCAAAAATATCTACGTTAGCCTGGTGTTAAATTCGCCCTCTAAGCAAAATGATATATATATCTAAAGCTAACTTAAAACTTAAATCACTGTTAAATTTGTACCTTATTGATCATATAAAGGCAAAATGGATGAAATTTAACTGTTTTGCTGTATACTGTAACCAGCTAAAACCCTACCCGACTTAAAACAGTAAACTAAACCTTGACATTTACTGTGTGATACATAGGGCGGTTTGAAATTTGGTCACAATCCAATTATAACAAATATTTCCTACCTTGATTTTATCAGTGTCCATTGGTGTGTTAGCGATGAGAATCTTGGCATTTTCTATTCTTTTTGGTTGGTTTACTCCTATTTTCTTATCTAACAAGAATCCTGTAAAATAAATCAAACAACATATTACCAACAAAAGTCAGCAATTCCAGTCATACTTCAGAATCGGTTTTGTTCTGTACCTTCATACATCAGGAAGTACCAGACTTGATATGTGCTTCCACAAAAATTACATATACATGTACCTTACATAACAATTACAGACTTTCCTGGTCCTTTACTTTCCTTGATTGACAATGTTTGTTGATGGAATAATATGGACAATGGCACAATCCTTGTTTTACTTGTAAGTTAGTGAAGACAATACAGAAGACAAACCTTCATCCAGATATGAATCTGACAGGCCACCGCCAAGCTTCTTAATGATTTGAATGGCATCTAGGTTACCACTTCCCTATTAAAAAAGACAACAAAAATCTTAAAAAGTCATTCCAGAAAATAATATGCATGCGATACCATGGTCTTTAACATTGAACTTTCCCAAAATCCAAAACAACTAGAACAACTTTTCAAGGTTCCTTTGTATCACAGATCTGTTATTATCAATTTTCATTTTTGTCTTAAATGCAGTTTTCCCTGTGTAAAAAAAAAAAAGAAGTAAAAAAAAACTTAAACTGACCTTCAGTCTTAGCACAGCATCCACAGTCATATTAGCGAAATAATCTTTATACTGGGTGAGGATTTTAGAGCTAAGTGTTGTCCTGGCAATGTTCAACAAGTCGTTCCTGAACTTCTCTGGATCATTTCTGTACAAAAGATCAATAAAATACTAACATTGTTTCACTCATACTCAGGGTTTTCCATAAGAGACGGTCGCCGGCCAATTTGACTGGCTACTTTGATCATTTGGCCGCCTACACCAATCCAGTTCTGTAATAATGTTCCGTACACGACTACACGTACATGACAGGTCAGCCTCCTACTTTCACTACACAGTCTACTACTAACAAAATTATGGAAAACCCTGCATACAGAATTTTATTTCAAAGTTATGATTCCTTCATCACACTACAGGGGTCGAAATTAACTGTTTTAGGCACTAGCAAACCATTGCTAGTGCCTAAAATTTCCACTAGCAAAAACGATGGACAAACTGGCAATTTTTTGGTGAATAGGTTTGACTTTTATTTACTGTTATATTGAGTTTTTCAGGAACTGAGTGATATTGGAAAAGTTATCCAAGACATTGGATAAGAATGACTGATTGCTACCTGTATCAACATTTTAAATCTATATAACTTTGAATTGATCAGTTTTCTTTTTTTCATGTATGAGCTACATCTAATCTGACTGTCATATGATCAGATCCATTTATAAATGTAACTGTACCCAAATCTATATTATTTAAAAAATTGTTCACATTAACGATCATTTCAATAAATTATTATTAAGACAACTATCTTCCGTGTTCTCGGCAGTCATTGCGCCATACTGTATTAACAACATTTTTAACGTGGCCGTATATGCACGTTGTTGTGGCGGTGATTTTATATCAGCAGCGTCAAGAGAAACGCTCTCCGATTTCGACGATTTTTTTTTCAGAAGGGCCAGGCTGTGGCTGTTGACTATTATCTTGGTCATCGCAAGCACTGTCAGATGCTTTCCTTTTGAAAAAGTTTGTTATCATAGCTGATATGTCGCGTTTCACATGATGAGCAGACAGAAATCATAGAGTTTTCCAAGACAACTTTTTATTCGGTTTACACATAACTATCAAGGGAAAAACTGGAGCAATTCCGAATGTATTGATAATCTATGTCACTTTAGCGTTTGTAACCTATTTACTCATTTAAAGGCAGATGGAGAAAGGCATTTTGTGGCAGATGTTTCATCAAAAATGGTGATTAGGTATAGTTCATTTCCACTCGCAAAATTTTGCTAGTTCATTATTTTCCAGCTAGCAATTACCAAATTTTAGCTGGAATTTTGCTAGTTGTCTATAGTTAATTTCGAACCCTGACACTAGATATCAAAAAGAGAATAAATGGCCACTTTTGTCTTTCTATCCAGAGCCAAAATACAGCTTAATCTTAAGACACAATTGCTCAGTGAAGAAACATAGTTCCAAACTTCATCAGATATAACAGCGATTTTATGAACTTTCATGAATCAACTTGTTCATTACAACATGTAAAATCACTTATTTCAGCAACTACTTATATTTCTAAATGCAATATTTAAGTAAATTCAGATAGTAATTATGTCAAATAACCGAACTTGCTGAAACACAGCTGTTTTCCATCACTTTCGAATACAGTAAAAATATACGTAGCAGGTGTATTCAGACAATGGCGGTGCCAGTTGCAGAATATGAAATATCTTGTTTATATCCAATGCCAAACATCTGTGAAGCAGAGGAGTACAGATAACATGAAATCAAGAAGCAACTATCCATGGCCTTCAGCAGTGAGGGCCATGAGACCAATCTAACCTAACCGTGGACACTGAATGCCCAAGATCTATCATGTTAGATGTTAACATAACCATGATCTTTGAGGCTGGTTGGTTGCAGGTTTTCTGTCTCCTTGACTCGTCCTATCTCTAGACGTAGTCTCACTGACAAACGTGTGTTCTGACAACATGATGATAATATTGCTCAATGTAAAGTTAACTGTGGTCTCAGAGGGCCTTTCTCGCCAGATGTAAATCCAGGGCTCTCCCACCCCATTTTGGGACTGGGGCCCGGGGCCTTAGAATTGGGAAAAATAATGGTGTTTTCCTTAAATTGGGAAAACTTGGTGTCTAAATTGGAAAAAAAGATACTATTTTGCATTGGGAATGGGGCCGAATATTGACCCAAAATCTGGCAGATTGAGAGCCCAGAAATCTATCAATGGTGAATCTTACTGTGGACCCCGACCTGTAAGAGCCATCAGATAAAACAGATACTAATCTCCAAGTTTACCTACCCATGGTCCCTAGCAAAGTTTGTGAGGGCATGTCTAGCCGCGTCTGTTGCCTTCCTCCAGCCAGAGATAATGGTCTGTGGGTGTATTCTCTGTGTAACTAATGTCTCTGCCTCCTGCAAGAAAACAACACCTATGTCAGACCCACTTATCAGAACACAAAATAAAGTAGATACATGTCTTTTTCAGAACCAATAAAGAACAAGAAGTAAAGATTATCATCCAATTTTTCAAAGCTTAAAAAATTTTTTGTTACCTGAACTGATCAGGATTTAAATACTCTAAATCTGATGATGATATTGTCGTCAAGTTTTCCAGTGCTTACCTTGAGGAGTTCACATGCCAGAACCACCACAGATGTTGTTCCATCTCCTACCTCATCATCCTGTACCTTAGAGATATCTACAACACAAAACATTCAGTGTTATATTTATTTCAAAACAATGACATTAAAAATGTTTGAAAGAATCTTGAAGTGTCACATTGAAATGATGCTATGTCATATTGAAGAATGTCAGCCAATTTCTGACTCCTATGTGATCTCAAGCCATTTTAGACTTTAGGAACAGATCTAGATTCTCAACTGATTGGTCAGCTTTACCTTCATCAGTGTTCCAGAATGGGCAGTTACACCTGTATCTTCAAACACAAGTGTGGAAGAAATAGTCTATAGACAGGGTTAGAAAAATCCACTCGTCTGATCGTCTAGACGAGTCAAAGCTACATGCGGACGAGTGATTTGTTTCAGCTACTTGTCCGGCGGGCGAGTGAAATTTGTAGTTCTAACTATTGAATATTTAATAACAAATCACGTTTATCAACTTAAATACTCTTAAAACTAATTTAAATCCACCGATAGTCGATCAGATACATGGATGTAGTATCCTTGTTTACACCACATATCAAGACTCAGGCTGATCCAGACTACGCAAAAACATATTACGTCAACACAAATGTTGTAAACAAGGTTGTTTTGTGTACGTAATTACTGTCAAAAAGTCGATGTTCTCACTCACGTTTTGTCTAGCCCTAATAGAGAAATTAATTCATATATATTATATTCACCATTACGATCTTCTATTTCAGACACAAACATCAGTATAAAAGAGATAGATAATACACATTACTTACCAACTAATACTTTGGCTGCAGGATTGTCTATTCCAATGGATTTCAATATCGTTGCTCCATCGTTGGTCACAGAGATTTGATCACCACCTTGTAGGATTTTGTCCTAGTCAAACAAAAGGAAATTACATAATTTCTTTACCAAAGTGAGTGATTCATAATTTCACTTTGATATCTTGATAATTCTGAAATGTGGCTACATTAGACGTTTATCTAAGTCTTTAATGAAAATATGACTCCTGTGTATTTCACATTGATCTGTTTTCACTCATTTGACAATAAAATGCAGAAAGGGAGGTCAGGACAATACTGCAATTTATCATAAAAATTGTCTTACCATTCCTTTTGGTCCGAGTGTGCTTTTGACCAGATCACCGATAGCAATTGCACCAACGAACGAGGACTGTTGTAAACAAAAAACCATAATTGTATGTCTTTAAATGTTAATATATATTTAAGTATATAAGTATTTACATCGACCAGCAATTTTTTATAACTTGAACAAGTAGCATGCCCATTTAAACCATATATTCTTTCATTTTTGTGTCTATAAATATGCAAAGCTTTATTGAAAAACAGAATTGATCACGACTATAAAATCATTTCTCATACAGCAGAGTGAGCTCAATTCATATTTATGGATAATTTGTTACAGAGCTGCCTGGTCTCATTTCGTTATTCCCTCTTCTTTTATTATCTAAAAAAAATGCCATACCAGTCTGGCTGTTTCTGCCTTTTCCTCCTCTGCGCCTGCCTTGAAGATCTGAACGGGATTCAGAGAAACCTGAAAAAATAACAATTTATTGATGAGACACATTCAGCACAGGTGGACACACGCTGAAAGTGTTATCCCCCCCTCCCTCCCCGGCTACTACTTTTCAGCTCCAATTCAACTGAATTGTAGGCGGCTGACACAACTAGTATTGAATTTATTTATCCGGAAACTATCAACAAAATATCTAATTCAATCACTGATACTGATTACCATTTCAACAAACAACAAAATTTAATTTGTCCCGATTCAAGTTGATGCTTGTCAACCATGTTTATGTACGAGCCGGTTTAGCACATGGTCTCCATGCTGTATCCGCGTGGTAAAAAAATTAGCCCTGTTCGCCATTAACCGTCTCGTATAATTTGTGGTTTGTTTTGTATTTCGTATTTTGGAAACATTTTGTCAGTTATCAGTTACTTACCATCTTGTTTAGTGTTTGAGCGTCCGAAACAACAGTATTCAACTTCTCGAATCTTCTGGGTTTCTCGACCACACTCTCAGCTAAGTTTTTACATATAACGGAGTGCACTTTTAAAACGAAACGAATTTTCCACACACGATAAACATACGAAACGACAACATAGGTTGTGTTTTTGAGTCGAACAAATTAAATGTTTTCATGTAGAGTTGTTCATTTCGCATAATGTAAGATATTCATAGGTAAATGTGTAAGATGTTGATGTGCACAAAAATCTAGATATGTAACCCAGAAGTTAACAAGATTATATATTATATATATTATATGCTACTGATGTAGAGGGGGAATAACTCGTGTAAACTTAAAACCTTTCTTTGCTCGGTAGACCTGACGTTCAGAAAGGACACTTCATGTATTCGATATAGAATTTTGAATTTTGAAATACAAGTGAATAGAAACTGTTATAAATGAAATAAAAAAAAACATGTCTTGACATAGATATCAAAGTCATCCGTTTAAAACTAACCTCTTGTATGTTCTATTTAGATTTGCGAGAGAAAAAAAAACTTTTCAAGGTTTGTCCGCGAATGGATATCTAAGTCTGGTAGATAATTTTTTAAGTTTTCAACCTCACTTCTCCAACGTTATGAATTTTAAGATGCCGTTTATACAGCTTGCTATATTTTATCAATATCGCATAACAACGCCATACACTTTTTTAAGACGAAACCACGAAATGGAATAAAACATACAATAAGAGATGTAAAGCAAACATGTACTATAGAACTTTACAATTACAGCTTTGAAGATACAAATTAAGAGCAAGAACAACAGAATACTAAAATTAAAAAATAATAATAACTGTATACTTAAACTGATAGAATGACGTTTAAGAAGTTAGTAGGGATCAACTTTGAAAGAAGAGCAATGTTTTATTAATTACGTTTCATACAAAATCTGTCGATTTCGGGTTGCCAATAAGCCGTTATATTTGAAATGAACTTTTTGGACGGATAATTTGAAGATTTGGACACTCACAGTAAAAACTGCTATTTTAGTCTATTTTGAAAGGAATAATTGTTATTTTCCACGAATGTGCAACATGACCTCTTTCTGTTTTTATGAATTAAACTCATTGAGAAATGATGATCACAACACATCATGCAATTTGGTACCGTGCGGCAGTGCCTTGCTAAAAAAGATACTGCTTCATTTCCGCACCCAAAGCAAGCATTTAAAAAAATGTGTTTTTTTTTTTTTTTTTTTTTTTAATTTTAACGGAATTAAACACAAATTAGGCAAACCACGAATATCCTCCCCTAAAAAATCAATTCTGAAATTGTCACGTGCATTATGTGGCAGCATTTCCCGACAAATCACACATGTATCTATTTTATATACAAAACATCGCATTACTTATATCACGTGGTATGGTCGTGTAGAGAACGTGTAGTTGTTATCGCTGCAACTTCCAGATATCTTGTTTTAGTTTTAATATTGCTTAGCCGGGACGATTTAGCGTTGTAGATCATGTCTTCGAGGCCGAAACAGAAACGGCATGTCAACATAATAAGCCTGTTTCAGATTAGTAGAATCTTTCCACAATACATCAAGATCAATGTCTTTTTCGTATATGCTGAAATTTAAATTGACAACAAACAAAACAAAATCATACTGAAGCTGAAATTGATGTCGATTTTACCTTGAATGACTTATGGAAATTGTTCCAAAAGTCGAAGATGTTCACATTTTTGTTTCATTCTTCTGAAATTGGTATCAACTTATTCATACACCAACAGGTAGACTAAACATTGCTAATAAATGTAAGAACAATATATTTATTTTTGGCCAGTAGAAAATACATCATCAGGGTTAAGTTGAAAACATCAAGAAGAAAAAGGTGATTTTTTTTCCACGCGCGTAGAGAAGGAGAATATGATATAACGATGGTCGAAAGTTTGAACTTAAATATCTTTTGTCATCAGAAGACAATAAATAAACAAATAAACAAACAAACAAACAAATAAATAAATAAATAAATATTTGGGCCTCGTCTTAGTATCTTTCCATCACAATTTTACAGCACTGTCGACATATTTCCGTGCCAGAACACAAAAATTACGGACCAAGGTTTTCCCCTGTGGAATATACGCCATTAATTTACACCTGTATAGAATAAAAAGTAATTAATATACACCTGTATACCCCCAGGAGAGTCTCTCCTGACATCTTTAGTACCCAAAGTGAAAACTTTGGCACATTCGGAAAGCTATCGGTCAGTATGATAACCCCCTCTGCGCGGAGTGTGTCTTGATAAAGAAACCATTGGCATTCATGCGATGATAAAGTGCCCTTTCTACTCCCTGGTATCACCAACAGTATAATCCAAAGACTTGATATAATTATTTGTTCTAAATATGTTTCATTTGACCAGTATTTATAACATTTAAACTAGGGTGTTTTATCTCCTTTAAAAGTGCGACAAGAAGTTAGCATCCTCCGAAAAGACATTCAATACAAATGTTAAATTGTTGAACATGTCATAATGTCACTATTAATTTCTGTGCAGTATTTTTTGTTTCTGCGTCGTTCAAAGTATGAAAGTATACATTAAATCATTTCAGCACATTTTCTTCAAACTGGTGATGTCAATAGAATAGAATTTCTTACAACACAGATAGTAGAAGATTTAAGTGTGACGTTTTGATGAATGTACGGTCACCTACATCAGTCAAATGACCAGTTTGGAGCGTGCAGAAGCTGAGATTCGTGGTTTGCGAGATGGTGAAGAATCCTGCTTATGTACACTAAGGTAGAATTTTGGTAACCCCAACTAACGAGCAAACAATCTCATGGCAAACCAATAATAAGCGCTCGTGGGGAGGGGTCGGGGTTTTTTTCCGGACGTCTCATATTATTGTTATTGTTTTTTTTATTTATTACCTAGTACGGAAGATATGTAGAAGTAAAAGAGATGAATTGAAAACGAAAGAGTAAATGAAGTGAGAGATTATAGAAATGTATTGAGAGGTGAACCAAACCTCTGCTGAAGAAATGAAAAAAAAAAGAAAACTTAAACTGTCTGTCATTACGAAACTTGTAATAATAGTGTCTGTCTGTCTGTCTGTCTGTTGGTCTGTCTGTCTGGTCTGTCTGTCTGCGTATTTAACTCCTCCAATGTACACGTCCCCAAAAAGAAATTTGGGAAAATGGTTTGTTAAAGTGTTATTACAATTTTCTTTAAATTATCATTTTTTGATGAAGCAAAATCCGGTAAATAACAAACAAAATAAAACAAAATTGTTGTAAACAGGTTGTCGTCATATCCTAGTTAGATTGTGTCTCTGTGTAAGACACTTGATCTGAATTCTTTTGTATAGTATGCGACGGACCTCATGCATGATGGTCAGTAAGGGAAAAAATACAACTTGTCTAACGGAGCTACCGTTGGTATATATCGGATTGTCAGTATTGTGATAGGTCTCCGTACTGTAAGGTTGGTATATATCAGTGTTAATCTAACAGCCGACGGGTGAGTCATATTGAAATGAAGCCCAACTTAAGCGAGTTTTGCAGACCATGACAAGCAAATCTCTGTACTCTGTGGAGAGATGTAACCATCAGGATTTTCAGGGTTAGGAAATTGCAGGTGTGTCCAACTTAAAATGCTGAAAGCGATTGGTTACGACAGACTGTTATCACTGGAATTACATTAAAGTAAAAGTTGACTTGGATACTTTTCACATTTAAATCAGTTTCGTAGACTGATTCACTCCAACAAAAAATAAACCAACAAATATAATCATTTTTCCAAACGGACCTGAATGAACAGTATTTAAACAATCACTCAGGTTACCTTGTCTTTCTATGTAACTTTGAAAAAAGACGTAAAGCGTTCGTTTGATAATCATGCATGTCTCATATTTGTGAAAAGCTATAATAAAATTGTGTAAATTTGAGAAATCTTAAAAACCTTAACCAACGAAACATGAATATTAAAACAAAAAAAATCTATAATGTTGAGAAATACATTTTTAAAATATCAATATAATGTAAACTTTCTGCTAGTGAGGATGTTATAAGTAAGATACTCTAATCCATTTGACTTTGGGACACCCTCAGACGATACCAAGAGAACTGACAAACAGGTAAGTAGAGAGGTAGCCAGCACTTCCTTAGCACAGATATAAAATTGTTCAAAAGACAGGTGGATACCACCTTTCAATATCAATTTAAAATCAGACAGACTCAAACAATTAATTAAACTGCATTATCTCTGTCTCTGTCTCTCTCTTCCTCTTTCTCTCGCCTCTCTCCCTCCCCTCTCTCGCCTTTCTCTCTCTCCTCTCTCTCTCTCTCTCTCTCTCTCTCTCTCTCTCTCTCTCTCTCTCTCTCTCTCTCTCTCTCTCTCTCTCTCTCTCTCTCTCTCTCTCTCTCTCTCACACACACACACACACACACACATATATATATGATAGCCAACACGAAAATATTCTGTAAACAATGTAAATGTTCCAACACATTAGTTTTGTATGAGGTTTACTCCAGTCCTATAAATAACTAATTCATTAAGTGTAATGGATTTCCAATTAGTGACAACAAGCTGTGATCGATTTTAACATATGCTTTGTCTCTACATTACTTACCGTCCGTCATCAATAATTTAGACAAACAATGAAAACCTTGTATTGTTGTTTTAAAGTTCAAACGATATTTAGATCCAGAAACGTAATACCGTAATTGAGTGAAATGTATATACTCTTTAAGTATAACATAGTTGTGATGTTCTATACCGGACTATCTGCAATTCCATTGATCTTATCGATGTTGTAAAGTCGAAATGATGAAGCGTGGAGATTTCATCGAAAGTCATGCATGTGTAGTGCCTTTTGTCTATAGTGAGATATCGATTTGACAAATATTTCAGTTTATTGCTCAAATCCGTTTCATTTTTTAAACAAATGACATTAAAGCAGTTTTAACGTCCTTATCTGTTGGCATTTGAATCTAACTTCATCTGTTTTTGAATTGCTGGGTTAATCATCCTGCAAGTATATATGTACTGCTAAA